AAATGCCATGGCTGGCAAAAAGAGACATTACAATGACTTTAATTTATTAATTTAATTTTTTTAATTCATAGCAGCAATATTGGGTTGTTCTGGGGTTTATTTGTTATCTAATGTAAACATTCTGTATAATAAAAAACTGCTTCTCTAGCAATGCAAAAATAAAGAAAGGCAACACAATCTCATAGGTTTTGGATGTTATGTGGAGCATGTTGCCTCATTAGAAGGTCCTGGGTTTGAATCCACGTTCTGGCCGTTACCTTTCTGTGTGGGGGTTGCATATTCTTTCCAGGTACTCGAGCGTCCTCACACAGTCCATAGACATGCAGTTAGTGTGAGCAAGTTAATTAGTGATTCTAAATCACCCGTAGGCGTGAATGGTTGTCTCTCTCTGTGTAAGCCCTGCGACAGACTGGCAACCTAGCCAGGGTGTACCCTGCCTCATGCCTTATGGTAGCTGGGATAGGCTCCAGCCCTCCCGTGAGCCTAAATTGGATAAACAGAAGAGAATAGGCAAGCAGTCTTGTTGAACATATTGAGTAATAACTTACAGTACAAGATGTTTAAAAAAAAGACAGTCATTGTCGCAACAAATGTCCCTAGAGCTACTTGGCAGTTTCTCTCATTTAAGGAGATGAGATCAGACGTTAGGATTGCAGAAGTGTCGTTATAAAAAGGTGTCACTACAAAGCGTGCTCACTAAAAAAGTCCTACGACCAAGTTTAAAGTTTAACACGACTTTATTTGGAGGAAAAGTGGGTCTGCACACAATGGACGGATCAGCATACATTCAAAATTGTGTCCAGATTTTATTTAGGAGTATATGAGGAGAACCATACAGAAGTAAATGACCCCCCGTCCCCCCAAAAAAACAAAACCCGCATGTTTTTGAATTATCAAGTCAAGACTAAATTCTGACCCCTTAGCCCAACTAAAATACTATTGCCGGACCTGAAGACAGCTGCTCTATTAAGGCATTGCAGAAATAGTGAATTGAAACAGCTCTGCGAAAATGAACCTTCCTAATTTAATCATCATCAGTGTGCAATTCTCATAAGCAGCTACAGGAAATGGAGGTTGTTGCTGCTTTCTATGAGTTATATTGGCGAGAGTTCACTCGTGTGATTGTTTATTAACCTGCATTGTGTGTTAGTTCAGTCAGATTGAACGCTGCAAATATTTTACAAAGAATGTACTCTCAAGTTTTTCTTGCAGTTGTGTGATTCTAGTAACTGCAAACAACCAATAAGGGCATGCTTATGAAGACTGACTATGAAGATTTAGCCGAGTGACTGGCAATTAGACTGAGATGAAAAATAGCTGCCTTCCTGTTATTCATAGCAGAGTGACTTGCGCAACAGCACAAAGTTTCAAAAGATCTGTCACAAGGGATTTGGACCGAACACCATTTCCTGTGTTTGAGTAGATGAGCTGGTAAAAAGAGTGACGTCACACACAAAATAAGTGCCGGAACAAAACAATCTGTATACCAATGTGGAAACAGAGTCACTTTTGATGGGTCTGCATACAAAAGTGAAAGCACAAGCAGGCACAACGAACTGTCATTTATAGAGTAGTGAAGTGAGAAAGGAAGGGCCTACTGCATGTGGAAGGGTGTGTGTGGGTTTGCCTGTGTGTGCGTGATAGTTATGGTGTTGATTGGTACACCATGTGCTCGCTCTACCATCCCTGGAGGAGCTGTCATAAGCTGTTGAACGATTGATGGCTCTCTCAGAGGGAAAACACAGTGTCCTGTTATTGCCAAGAGGATCAGTGTTAACACTTTTATATGGCACCCCTGAGCTCTGTTCACTCATGAACTGGTATATGTCAAACACGCACAAACAAACGCATGCAGGCAGTCACGCCAACTTTGTATATGTTAGTGGTTCTCAGGGGGAGAAGCTGGTGTGACGGATCAGGAGAAGGAATTAAAAAAAAAAAAGAAGTCAAAGAATATTGCACCATTTTTTAAACTAAAATTAAACTTGTTCCTTTTTCATTTTTAATAACAGAAAAAAAGGTTTTTGGAAGATTATATACGTTTTTTTTCTCTCTAGCAGGGCATGCCGGAAAAACTTTGAGAGTCTGTGGTGAAACATGATTGTTTCTCATGAAGAATGGTGAATGGTAGACTTTGCGCATTTAGTTTGAGAAGTGTATAATGTGTGTATAATGTGTGTATAATGTGTGTATAATCTTCATGGCCAGGTAAAATATCGTTTTTTAAAATTATTTATTTCGTTTTTAACACCTAAAAATGTGTAATCTTCTGACATAATAATTGTGGATTTTATTGTAAAATCATACACAGGGTTGTTATAAAGTGATCTCCTTTGACAAACTATGAACAGTAAAATATGTAACACTTGGAGCAATCACTCTATTTCATGGTCTGGTTTTACTAGTTTTATTAGTAATCCATTGCGTTCGAGCTGCAACACTTCTGTGAGGGGTTTTTAAGCAGGATTTGTGACATTTACCTACATTTTTTTGTGTATTTTTGTTGCTTTTCAAACATCTGTAGCAACTGTCAAATACAAAATTTTATATGTGATTATCCAAAACCAGGACCTTCTGAAAAAACTCTAAACAGTATATGTTACAAAAATCTGCAGAACATAACCAACAGAAAAAGATCTGTGTTTATTGTGTCCAATATATGACTTTTAAATTGATTTTTTTAATTTACTGAAATAAATGTGTGCGATAATTTTAGATGTAGTTGGGGTTGGTACACATGAGCGATGAATTAAACTTTCTAGGGGATGCTGACTGTATTTAAGCAGTTATTTACATCTAAGTTCAAATGATATAATCTTCAGCATCTGTCTTTTTAAAATTGGCTAATAACTGGTCATCTGCTTCCTTATCACATCCATCCAGACTCCCACAGTTTGAATGCCTCTCCACTGGGACATTATGACGTCAAAGACCCACCCACACCCACACACACACACTGGACCAAGTCCCCTGAGGTTGCTGCCAGCACAATGTCATTATCATCCATCGGACTGCAGTGGCCACTGCCCATTGAGTCTCGCTGACGTTCCTTTTGTGCTCAGTAATTCTTCTCACAGAAGCCCACAACTCCACCCCCAACCCCCACCCGTACACCCGTCCTCCCGCCTGTCTACTGTGGCCCATCTGTAATCCCATCCCCCCGCCCCGCACCCCCATATCCGCTCCGTCTCGGCCTGCACTTCTCCAAAACAAACCAGCTGTCTTGGCCGGTCGTGTCCCTGGGGGCGTAAACAGGTGTCGAGAGGGCCTCAGTGTGTGACACATGGCCACACGCTCCTCCAGCCTTCTCCTCCAACCTGCCAACCCACCACAGAGCGAGAGAGTGGTGTGTTTTACACTTTTGTGGACTTGATTGTTACTACAGACAAGGAGCTGTTGATATCTGGGACTGCACATAAAACCTAATCTCTACAGGTCAAAGCAGCTGCTCACACTAAGTGCTTGTGATAGTTTCCTCACATTCATTGATCTGAGAAGTCCTTTGTTTATTTTTTAGAAAATCTTTGCTCAAGGGTGAGAATTCATTTAACAAAGATATCATGTATGAAGAAACCTTGACATGCCTGTAGCAGATATAAAAATACACACTGCTGTGCAACCAAAATAGATGAAAGGAGACGGGTATGTCCTGCTGAGCTTAAAGCCAGCTGTATTTTTAGCACAAACTTCACACTGTGCATAGGAGTGGAGGAGGGGGCTTGCTGGCTGAATGCAGGTCAATGCGCCTGTACACACATACCAAAATGGTAACAGCAGGTCAATGCCACTATAGTTGTATAATTCTGAACAGTCAGTGGAGGCAGTGAGCAAATATTGGCACCTCACTACCATCACTATCCTCGTCTATGCGTCCACTGTGGGCCATTTGAATTCCAGCTGTGTAAGTTCTTCTTCTGTGTGACTATAGAAAATTTGTAAACTGAATCCAAGCAAGTGCACCAGCTTCTTTGTGCAGAGCGTTCACATTTTACGACTCTTTCAAGTGCCTGCTAATAAGATACCCGACTTTGGAAACTGTGCTTGAAAGCAGTAAAGTCTTTCTTTTGAAGCTGCAGGAACAAAGGCAGCTTCACACCCTAAACAGTCCCGCTATCACTCTCTCTGCGGTGAGCTCAGCGGCACTGCACGGCCCATTGTACATCTGCCACTTGACTCCTTGACACTGAAACAGGGAGTGTGTGTGAAAGGTGGTGTGGTGGGGGTGTTTAGGCCTACATGTGCATGTGTCAAGCTGTACTTGTGCTTTAGTGGAGCTGAGCCAAGCTGCAAAGCCAAACTGCCACCTCGTTGATTCCTGTGTTCACATGTAAAACAAGCTGAGGCAAGTTAGTGGCTCATCTCTTGCATTCATGTACGACTCCTATCACCTTCCATCTTTACAGCAGCTCCAGAGTTATTCACCCATCTGGAGACAAAACAAGCCAGTAGCAATTACTGGAAACCCTTTGCGCTAGAGATGCTGAATGTCAAACCTCAAGCCTTTATTCAACAAAAACACAGGCACGGCTGTATTCTTATGCAACCTTGGTTATGTGGCTGACAGCCAGGCAATTAAGCATATGTGGATTTCTAAAAGTAAAATGGAAAAAGAAGCATAGAGTATGTTGTCCAGCTGAAGTTGGAAACCTACACTTATTTTTAAAAAGAACAGCTCTTTTGATTATAATTATGTCTCACAGTCTAAACTGAAACACAACAGAGCCAACGTTTTCTTTTTTTATTTAGACAGCTCCACTGTCCTATACAGCCTACTGAAACAAAAGGAAAACAGAAGGAAAACAAGGACCTAATTTCATCAGAAATTTTGAAGTGAAGTCACATGCAAAAGAACAAAAACTGCCCAGTGTTACATAACTAAATCAAGTGATCTGTTGTGACTGCTTATTTAGACACAGCCACGTGGAGGTTTATCAGCAATAACAGGGAAAAGGATGGAGATTGCGCAATATCAGCGAAACACATTTGGCCAGCTGCTCACACTGGCCTTTCATGGGTCTGCTGTGCAGTCTAAAGTCTGAATTGAGACTCTCAGCAGCAGCAGCTCATGCATTTGCATTTGATGCAGACTCTTAGCAGACTTCAGTCGGAGGATCCAGCACCCGCGGATGACTCTGAACTTAACCAAAAACTTTGCTCGTGGAAGGGTAGAGCATTCATAGACGTAAAAAACCTATCACGACGCTTTCGTTTCTGCCTTAGAGCTAGCGACGCAGTTTTGGGTGTGAGTCAAATGAGGTGTGTTTAGACTAGCTCTGGCCTGAAAGAGTGCAGACGGAACTAGGTTTTCTGGCGGAGTAGCACTAAATCCACAGCGCAACAGACTACCGGTGCACAGTTCACCGCTGAGCTCGAGACAGACGGAGCGAGTCCGCTAAAAGTGGTCGGTGCGACTCCGAGATGTGTTTTGTGTGACTTTAAAAACAACAACAACAGCAGCAGTTTGTCTTTACTCCCGTCGTCTCCACTACTCTGAGCGCTTTAGGGACACTTGTTCCTCCGTGTTTTTTCCAAACTGACGGACTTCTCGACACTGGACTGACTTCAGCTGAACTCAAAAGATGTCAATTTTGCCTTTCACTCCCCCTATTGTCAAACGACTTTTGGGCTGGAAGAAGGGAGAGCAGAACGGCCAGGAGGAGAAGTGGTGTGAAAAAGCGGTGAAGAGCCTGGTGAAGAAGCTGAAGAAGACGGGACAACTGGACGAACTGGAGAAAGCCATCACCACCCAGAATATCAACACGAAATGCATCACTATACCGCGGTAAGGAGAGTTTGAGCGTTGACCGTGAAATCAGCATCCTAGCTAGCTGTACACTTAGTAGCTTCCCCGGGGGGTTATTACTTCAGCTGATTTCATTACAGCTTTGTTACAGAAAACTCAAAAAGGTTTCTTCCCTGGTTTCTGTCATCCTCGGCGCCTTGCACATGTATGGCATCATTGCTCGACTTGAGAAGTTGACATTTCCACTTCCTTTCTGGCGTCAATATTTCAAACTGTTGATTTCCTTTACGTGTTTATTGTGCAGCAACATGGTGGCTAAGGTGCTGCTTAACGAGCTAGCGTTGGACCATGAGCAGAGCTAGCAGATCATGTCTGAAACATCTCGGTGGCGAGCTGCTGGGGCATCATGCTGTCATCGTGTGCACACTTCACTTTAAGCGAGCAGCCTTCAGCACTTTCTTATTATCACATCAGCATTCAGCTGAGGGTGTTTTGCTGAGAATAAAAAGGGTACAGTCCATGCATTAACTAGCCAGCAGAGCACATGCAGTGCAAAAGCATTAATGGAGTCCAAGTTATATAACTTGGCCTTAATCTGGGACGCTTTCTAGCGTTCTTAGTGCGTAGGCGAGCCCGTGGAGCTGGCTTCTTCTTGCTCTCAGTCTGCACAGCCATTTGTCCATCAACACATTATTTAGAACAAATAACCAACAGTGGCATTTGTCAGTAAATCACAGCTGGTAGCTTCTGTGAGTCACTTCTCTCCTGAGCAGTCATTCTCCTCCCTCGATGAGAGGCTGTGCTTGTAAAAGCCTCTGAGGTGCACAATGTAAACACAAATCATGGATTTTACCCCTGCCACTCTTTAAAATGTATGTGTGGTATTACTGCAGTGTTGATTTTTCAAGTAACTCTCAGTTGCCGGTTGTTTTAGTACACCTTAATCCACCCAATGAGCAGAGATTAACTGATTCGTCAACTTGAAAGTTCTTGTCCGTTACATGGATAATCAATTTGAGTCATTTTTGTGTCAGCTTACGTGATGTGGTTTTTAAGGGGCATCCCTTTAAGATAAGATACTTGGCATATAATTAACACCTGTGTCAGTAATAAAAAGCTTTGTCAGTATCTACAGATGGAGAATGCCTCCAGTCTGTTGTGCAGAAGAAGCGAGTGGTCTGCAGCCTCCAAAATAGCTATAAAGAGCCTGTTACACATCCCTATAACAGTTCTAAAAACTGAACATGATACATTTTGCTTTGGAGATGTCATATCAAATTGAATTAGTTTTAACCAGGTCCAACTGCAGCGAAAGAAAATGGATGGATGGACAGGTGGAACTTGTATTAAAAGTACAGTGTGTGCTCACATGTATTTTACTTCTTCTGCTTTCTCCACTTTTACAACTAAACTCTCCAGACCTTTGCTTGCATCTGCAAAATCTCACTAGTGTTTGTGGGCTATTCAGATTTAATAGCATACTGTCAGATGAAAATTGAGCCTCAGTGGGGCACTCCCACATTCTTCATTGCCACAAGTGTGCATATCACGGCTTGCACAGGCCTGGGCCAGCGTTCAGAATTAAGCCTACCCAGAAAGTTAAATAATGTTTGTCATGATCCAGGTTTCATATTTCCCACCACTAATGCAGAAGGGAAGAGGTGGAGTGCATTAAGATGACCCTAGATCAGAGCTGGCTGTCAGTGTTGGCTAACAGAGTCCCTGGAGAGCTGCTGTTTCTATTAATTCCCCCACGTTTTGGCTTGCTGACAGCAGCTGCTTGCATGTTCAGGCCTGTCCACAGGGAGGTCAGCTTCTATCTCTCTGACACATGAACTCCCTGTTCAAGCTCATTGCTACCCGTCTTAATGGTGGTTTGCAGTGATGCTGAGTCGAAGGAAGCGGGCTCTGTGTATATTGATTGAATCAATAGTTGTATATGGTGGGGGAATAGCAGGAAAATTATATCACATCTCAGTGGTGTACATTGAGATAGAGTTATGGGGAAAGAAAGGATCAGATCTCAGCGGGCCAAGTGACAGAATATTATATTGAAATCTCAAGGCTATTTTTTTTTTCCTGTCGTGTCAAGCACACTTATTTCTTTTTGTGTATGTGAGTTTGGTCTGTCAGATGAATCTTCGAATCAGCTGGGGAGCTTTGGGAAAGACTAGTTGTTTTTGAACGGCTGCAATCTGCTAGATAACACTAGCACACAATTACAGGACAATCTGTGGAAACTGTATAACAGCTTGGTGAGTTTGGTGGTTAAGTTATATTTGGGTTGGAGGTCATTGACGTGGTCAGTGGGGCTGCATGTAGGTGTAGGTGTGCCTTTATCTTATGAAAAAAACATTAGTCATGTTCCCAGTTGAGGTCAAAACAAAGTATTGCAGGCTTTGACTGTTACTCAGAGAGTGCCATTGCTCTACTTGCCTTTTAGTGGTTTTTGACAATGAGCAGCTTTACTCATTTAAGACGTAAGTAAAAGTTTAAACCTCTGTCCAAGTTCAAGCCTGACTCATTCAGCAACGAGCAGCTGTGGTACTGACCTACCCTCTTCTTTTCTCCATTGGCCCTATTAAAGTCCTGTCTTCCTGTGAGCTGTAAACTTGGGTTAGCCGAAAACACTAGTGTGTAAAGTGCGTCAAGCCACTATGAGTTTCTGATTCATGAGGGATGGATGTGTAGTGTGACAGCCTGCTGTGTGAGTGTGACAAGATGACTAACAGATGTGTGTCCTGTTGTTTACCAAGACCTGTATCTATAAACAGGAGCCAAGTTGTGTTTCCGTTATACCAGGATAAACTGGGAGCAGAGTTAAATATAGTTACAAAGTCAGTATGGGGAGGAGGTCAGGTTGGTTGGATAGGTCAACAAAACCTCAGGCTTTGAGACCAAACATGTACGTATGCTTCCTGTTTCCTAAGCGTAGTAAATGTCGTTTTTCTTTTTTCTTTTCCTGAGTTATGGCCATGATTGTTTCCTAACGTCAACCAAGATTACGTAGGCTTTTTAGCCTTAAGGAAGTAGTTACTTTACCCAGACCACATTTTTAAAGCAAACTATTACATTTCACATTTTAACCTAAATCCCTGACCTTTTGCCAACCCTAACCAGGTCACGTTTTTTTCTCTCAAACTCCAACCATAGTGGTGTCCATTCTTGAGTGGTTTTCTGTTCAGAGAAGTGATTTGTTTTGTAACTGTTTTGGGAGACACTACCACATTTCACCCCCCCCAATTGAAAAAACTTTGTCAACCATTGCCACACAGTCAAACTTAGTGTAAACATTTAAACTTAAAGTTTTTGAGGGTGAATTTTAGGTGCAGGTAATTGGGAGGCAGTGGTTGAGCAAGTCAAACAGTTGCAAACAGTGTAACAAAAAATGCCATATTGATTAAAAACAATATAATCTCTTCCTGTACCTCCTTTAGAGATATATTTTTATAGAAGGTATAAAAAAGGACATTGCTACCATAAGGTCACCTATTGGTTGCTTTAAACCCTTTTTGAAGCCTTTTGAGTGTTTCCTTCATTGCTATCTTGGTTGCAAAAAAACCAAAACAAAACAGATGTGATGAGGACAGGGGTCTAACTATGGTACTACACACTCACAGGCTACTTTGCATAAATCATGGTGAAGTATAGAAAACTCTGTTCTTGTCATCTATGACTGGGAATCCATTCATAAACTAGAGAACACCAATGTATACAATTCCATACCCTAAACTAGCTGTTACTTTGAAATTTATTATTACTACAGCGTCCTTTTTTTTATTTTTATTTGTTTGTTTGTGTTTTTTATGGATTGCATAGATTAGTCTACAAGCAAACAGTTGACCTTCACCACACACCATTTTTGCTGTTGTGAATAGGAGGATCTCTGAGACAGACCTTAGAGATGGACTGTCTTCTGTAAATACTAATTTGTGACTGTCAGTTAGGGCAGCCACTAATAACTGTTGCCGTGTTGATCAATCTCTTAATGTTTTGGTTACTCAAGTAATTAAGATGATTTTTAAAATGATAGAAATAACAAAGATACACTTTGTTTGTGCAGTCCGAGTTGACACTTTCAGATAGGTTTTGTTTAGAAGCGTATAGCATATAGATTATAATAAAATAAATGAAATTAAGACAAAAAGTGTTGGTTTTTGGGAAGCTGGAATCAGATATCGGCTTGAAGTTTTTTGAAATGACCAATTATACAAGTTGTCATTGGAGGAATCAGTAGTTCCTGTAAGTACAGTATAATGTGTGAACTAATCACAAACAAAACTTGTAGAAGATACTGTGCTGCTTTTGACCTGATTGTACTTTGTGTATGATAGTTGTTGTGACAATAGGTAGACAACATCACACTAACTCAATCTGTTGTCTAGTTGTTTGTGCCAAATGTTTAATAATTATGACACAATCATGCACCTGTGCATATAGGGTCTGTCATGTGTGAACAGAGGTAACTTTTCAATGACAAAACTTAATGGGAGTTAAATATTCCTTAGAAAGACACACTCATCAAAGTTGCGTCTTCTGTGTGTGTGCTTAAAAAATATATTTGGGGTTTATGAGTTCCAACAGTTGCACACTGGCATCAAAAAGACATTGAGACATTTTCCATTGTCTTAATATCATGTGTGATACGTGTACTGTGGACAGTGTGAGTTTTAAATTCACAGAGCCTGGGGAAGTGGATTCCTCACCTTTTTATCTTAATTTTCTCTGACTTTGTGCAAGGGGTGGTGAGAGGGTTTGTCTTATGTACACACATCTCTCCTGGCACTAAGGTTACAGTCTGATTCACACTGCATGTTGGGGCAGGAGGGAGTGTAGGATCTTCAAGTTCAGAAGTAAAAGATGGGATAAAATGAGAAAGACAGGGACTGGACCAAGAGTGAGAAGGACTGCATCCACACTGCTGTTTCTTTATACATCACTGTTGAAAATACTTCAACAATACAGTTCTTGATTAAGGAAATTAATTTTGTTGACTTTTGTCAGACCATCATGTTTTCCACCTTATCAGTGTGCAGCAG